TTTTTTTTTTTTTTTTTTTTTTGGTTAATAAAATATTCTAATTGTTGAATTTTATATTGAAATATATAATATATCCGAATTTCACACAAACTATTATCAGTGGCCTAATTAACAATATGTGAAAGTGGATTACTCTTAATTAACATCGCTTAATCGAATAATTCACCATAATGTATAATTTTTTAAATGCATTTATCTTATATATATAATTAGGATTAAACACACGAATTGAGTCAGCTTGTGTGATCTACTTACTTACTACCAATTCTATTGAGTTCGGTATATGTCATTGTATACTTACTTATAGGTTATTAACACTAATGTCTTTGAAATAAATGTAAATGAATCTGTTGCTTAATTAAGATCATAACAAGCTGCATTAATATGTGTACATATACGAAAAAAAAAAAAAAAAATCAATTTTGGTCCGTTTAGTTGTCTAAAGTCTTTTTTTTTGGTACACTAACTTTTTCTTTATCAATAATAATACGTTATGTTGCAATTTGTATCATTTTTAGTACATTAATCCCAAAAATAACGAACACGCATTTTCGCGATAATGTCCCTGCGACAACGTATTATTATTGATGATGAGAAAGTTAGTGTACCAAAAAAACAATTTAGACAAGTAAACGGACTAAAATTGTTTTTGCTCGTGTATATATATATATATATATATCGTAGTTATTCGACATTTGTATATGCAGGCAAAAGATGAGAGAGGTGATCGATTCCGGTGTAAACTTGGGCCCACCGCGGAGCTTCGGAGTAGTATTCAAATCGAAAGCGAAGGAGACGTTTTTCCCTGATGATCCCTTTGGGCACTTACAGAAGGAGCCTTTGGGAATTAAGACACTGAAAACCATACAATATTTCGTTCCCATCTCCCAATGGCTTCCTAGATACAGCTTATCTGTTTTCAAGTACGATCTTCTTGCCGGCATCACCATCGCTAGTCTCGCTATCCCGCAAGGCATCAGTTATGCTAATCTCGCTAAACTTCCTCCCATAATTGGCCTGTGTAAGACTTACTTTATAGAGTAAATTGCAACTTTAGTCTTGTATGTTTCGTTGCCCAAACTTTTTCGTTCTGTTCGAATTGCGTTTCTGATTTTCGTACCGTCTGTTTGCAAAAAAGTTAAAAAATGTCCTTTTCATATCTAAGGGACGAAATTGAAATCTTTTTTTTGCCAAACATAAACGACTTTTTTGGAAACATACGAGACGAAAATAAAAAACGCAATTGGAAGAGGACGAAAGAGTTAAAGGTAGTGAAACATAAAATTACAATTTACACTAATTTTATATGTATAAAATATATAGACTCGAGTTTTGTTCCGCCGCTTGTGTACGCCGTATTCGGGAGCTCAAAGCATCTTGCGGTGGGGACAGTGGCAGCATGTTCATTGCTCATAGCTGAGACAATCGGAGAAAAAGCATCTCCCACTGAGAACCAACAACTGTACATAAGTTTAGTTTTCACGGCCACTCTTTTCTCTGGTTTGTTTCAGACTGTTCTTGGCGTCTTAAGGTGATCACACCAAACCAAACCTAAGCTAATCAATATTAATCCCATTATTCATTATCTTATTAGATTATGAATTATTGAAAGGAAAAAATACATTTTTAGTCATGTTGGTTTAATGTCACTGAAATTTTAGGGCTAGATTTCATTTTTAGTGGGTCATTTTCTGAAAAGGTCTATCATGTAGGGTGTCGTTAAGAATGGCTCAATAAGTTGTCACCTTGACCAAAACTCGTACATTAATCAATAGTGTACTAAAAATGGCAACTAAAAATGATCACTATCAGTACACGATGTTGATTATCGTACAAATTCTGATCAAAGTGGAAACTTAGTGGATCATTCTTGATTACGACCCATATGATGGACATTTTTCAAAAAATAGGCAACCGCAATTTTACTACCAAAATTCCAATTTTTCGCCTTTTGGGTCCTATGGTTTAATAAAGGACTTGAATTGCAACAAAATTTTAAATTACAATGTCGAAATCGCAACACAATTTTAAATTACAGGACTTAAATTGTTGGTCGAAAATCTTAGAGTTTGGTGCAATTTCAGTCCTTAGAGGATTGAAATTGCAGCAAAGTAGTAAATCACATGACCAAAAGACGAAATTTTGGAATCTTGAGACTAAAATTTTTATGACGGTAAACCAACGTCACCGCATTATTGCCGTCAATGTATGTGTGTATGTATATATATTAATTAATTTGTGGATGCAGATTAGGTATATTGGTGGATTTCCTGTCACACTCAACAATATCAGGATTCATGGGGGGAACAGCAATTTTAATCATCTTACAGCAAATGAAAGGAATGCTTGGAATGAAGCATTTTACTACCAATACTGGTGTCGTTGCTGTTCTCAAAGCCATTTTCAGATATAGAGATGAGGTTAATTAATTTGCGATTTTATAAATTAATTAATGTGCTCTATTTAATTCTAACCAACTTGTTAAATATTTTGACATGTATAAATTACATGTTTAGCATTAATCAATTTATGCATAATTGGGGTTATTATTCGTTTGCAGTGGAATTGGAGATGCGCCGTCATTGGCGTAATATTCCTCGTCTTTCTCCAGCTCACCAGATTTGTTGTAAGAAAACAGATTAAAATTATGGAGAATTCTACCATACCGTTACGGGACGGTTCTGATGTATTTTTTGAGCGTAGATTATCTACACAGTACTAGATTACATGTATATCTACGGCTACGAAACACAACAGAACCGTCTCGTAACGGGATGGTAGCATTCTCCTAAAATTCTATCGATCATTCAATTTTGCATGATATACAAATAGCTATTTAATTTGCATCTCCTAATTATGTATAAAAGTTAAAATGGTGGATTTCAGAAAAAGAAGAAACCGAATCTATTTTGGGTGTCAGCCATGGGACCAATGGTAGTTGTGCTTGCTGGTTGCTTGTTCGCATACTTTGCT